AACTGACACCGCGGCTGGACACGTCGCGTAAGTACCTATATAGTAAGTAATAAGAATTATGTTTATATTCGAGGAAGTAAACGTTTTGTTTTGATTTCTTGTAAATTCAATTGTTATTGTGAACTGATTACGTAACCTACTGACCGTGACCTAATTTTTAAATAGTTATTTCGCGTGTATATTGAATTTAGAAACAGTTTTAAAAGTTTATTTATTAAGAGTCCTAAGCCGAAAAGTAGGAAGGAAAGATTTCATTTCGCTACCAAAAAAAAATTTAAAAACTATACTGAACGTTTTTAAATTTTTTTGCTCGAATCAAATTAGGCATTCATATATATATATATATATATATTGACATTAACGAATACTTTCAAGTATTTTTAAAACCTGGTTTTCGACCCTGGTATTTTTCCACACTCGTACTTAGAAGCCCTGGTATTAAATTTTGCAAGTATGTCTCATCTCTAAATGCGAGTCGGGAAGTCGAGTATAAACGTAGTGATTATATTCTCTTTGGTCGAGTATATCTGTTACTGTCAATGTCAAAAGTTCCGTTTCAGGTATTAGTGATTTATGAATATTTAAAAAAAATTATTTTAAATATTTCGACGCAGCTCCGGCGGCTGAAATTGCATGGGGGCGCTTGAGATAAGCCCCCTCGACGCCCCCCCCCCCCCCCACAGTGACAGACTTCTCAAATTCAGGCGACTTGATTCTAAACCCAACCCGATTCTGACCACACACCCTGCAAACATTTTGAAATAATGAAATAATTTATAGTCAATATCTCATACAGAGTCAACATCTCACAAAAAATCTTTACTGAATATTCGAGACGATATTATGACTGTGTTTTCGGGAGGAAATGTATTCAGACCTGATAATAACTGAATTTAAGGAAAAATCAATAATAAGTACTAAAATCTAAACCCATGAAATAAATTTGAATAAATTTTATAAAATATTGTCAATAGAAAGACGTTGGCAAACAAATGTCATTTTGTTGTCTCTTAATTCATGGCTTCTTTTCATAGAATTCTGCTAAAACTTAATAATTTAATTTTAATCAATTAATAGGTAAATTAATAATGTAAATCTCAGAGTAATATGTATGTAATTACGCTCTCAAACCAAAAATACAGAACTAACATTTTCAGTTTTTTCCGATTTAATGTATTTTTGTATCTGATTTTTAAAATGGCAATCTGAAGCAACGTTATGGAAAGAAAAAGCGATATCTCTTTCCCTCCTTATTTTATTTTTGGAGTTTATGGCCTGGTATCTAGACCTTTAAGCCAAGTCTTAAGTATTTTTATTCGGTTTATAGTAGTTTCCCCAAATGTATAATTATCCTTCATAGTTCACTGCTTCACAATATGTTGATGCGTCACATTGTGCAGCCCTTGGGAGATTTTGACGACAACTTGAGCCAGCAGACAGCTGACAGTTGGCGATGGTATCTAAAGGCGCCTATGTAGACAAACAGCTTATCTTGAGAATCCATCACCATCAGAGCACTTGTTTCACAGTTTCCACTAATAGTTCACATGCGCGGATACTTAATACACAAAATCGCACCACTTTTACATACATATCAAAGTCCACTTCAAACCATTATTTAAACAATAATACAGGAGCAGCAAACCGACGCCGGTCAAGTTCCCGCCAAAACTCCCCCCTCCTTATTTTTATACTCCCAACATATAGACAAAAATATAAAGTTTTCTGTGCTATGCTCTATGGTTCTAGAGTTTTAACGGGAGCTTAACAGCGCCGGATTGTTGCTCCTTATCACTGACCTTGGACTGGCTATACCATATAAAATGCTTTTGCCGATTTGAAGCGCCCTCGTTGTCCGACTCTAATTCTTTTTCTAAAATATTTGTAGCCTAAATTACTCCTTATAACATCAGATATCTGCCAGTGAAAGTCCCGTCGAAATTGGTCCAGCCGTTGCGGTGATTAGCCGGAACAAACAGACAGACAGACAGAGAAAAATTTTAGAAATTGTGTTTTTGTTATAAGTAACGTATATACTTTCATATGAATTTAGTAAAAAGCTGTTATTTTGATATTACAAACAGACACGTCAATTTTATCTATATAAATAAATAAAATAGAAGTGTGTGTTTGTAATGTCAAAATTAGAGCTTTTTACTAAATATATATGAAAGTATAAACGGTACTAATAACAAAAATACAATTTTTAAAGTTTTTGTCTGTCTGTCTGTCTGTTTGTTCCGGCTAATCTCCGAAACGACTGGACCGATTTTGACGGGATTTTTACTGTCAGATACGAGTAGCTGATATCACAAGGAGTAACTTAGGTTATTTTTATTATAGAAAAAGAATTAGGGTTCCGCGCAAAAAGTTAAGACCCCAAATAACACGCGGGCGAATTCGCGGGGAACAGCTAGTTTATTTGTATAGACAACATATAAATTTAGGTGAGAAAAAGATTTTATTCTGATTTATTGTATAAGTCGTGTCAATATTCCATGTAGAACCAAAGGAAACATGAATTTGATAAATTATTACATAGCCTAAACTGTCGCGAGAACCGCAGCGGGTATGACAGTCGATAATAAACTATTTTTTTTCCAATAATATGTCACATCTAATAAACCTTTACTACTACCATAATATGTTTATACTAAATAAGTAGAAATGTATAAAATCTGGTCACACTGGACCATAGAGCATTGGAAGTGAAAGCTCATGGACCATCAAGCCGAGTTTAATTTTAAAAACATCACGATATGGGTGCTAATGCCCTAATGCGTTACATTGCAAAGTTCTTGGAAGATTTCGACTACAGTTTAAATTTTTGATTCACATGCGCAGACATTTATCTGTCACTTTAAAATAATAATGAACGATGAATCAGTAGCACTGACCTCTATATATGGACTGACTATACACCGTGACATAATGAGGCTATTTGATTTTCACCATTTTGGCGCTGACAGCAGAAGTGAACGTTCAAGGAACTAATAATAGAGATAAGACCATGTGATAAAACATATCGATAAATGTTTTATATCCAGGCCTACCCGTAAAGCCCATTCTATTTATGAATCATATTAATATAATACCATCCAATAAGTAAATGTATCAATTGATACGGAGGCCTTAGACGCAAGCTTAATATCTCATATAAAATTAAGATGGACGCTGCGTTGGTCTATTAACGTTTTTATTCGTAACTACAGAATAGATTTTGTTTTGGGTTTCAAACGAGGAATTTGACGGGATTTTCGATGGTAGATAACTGATGTTATAAGGAGTAACTTAGGTTACTTAACAAAATTAAAACCCTAAATTACACGCGGGCGAATTCGAAGGGAACAGTTAATTATAACATAAGTGCTAAAGGGAAAAATTAAACTGGCTTAAATATTAACCTTAATATTTAAGCCAGTTAATTTTTTTTAGATAATTTTGATTGATAAAAAAGATAATATTTTAAAAACATATTTCCGCGTTATTTTGTTATTTATTATTAAAAGTTTTTTTTTTATAAACAGTACAATATAAAAAACAAACAGGCTTTATAGATTTTTTTTTTCAAAAATCTATAGAAATAAAAAAAGCTGAAATTCGTGTACACTCCCACTCACCTTACGCGTGCTTATATAAAAAAGTGGTATAACTATATAAATACGTGAAAATATTTGTTTTCAAGTTAAGACCCAGTAGATCAGTAGACATAGAAATTTGAATTTTTAAAAAACTTACTTTGATACATGTTATTTATCTCGCTCTTATTTATGGAAAGTATTCTCAAAAGCAGTCTCACAAACAGCCTAACAATATTAAACATTATTTGAACTGTCAGTCGTTAAAAATTTCGACGATAAATTCAATCGAAAATACTCAATTCAGCGCTTGTTCAGTCGCAGTAGTGCTTCTTGATTTTGCCTAAATTTTGTGTTTTCGTGTTTGGTTTTTGATTAAACTATCAGAGAAATGAGAAATAGAAATAATCTTTGATAATTACTAATAGTTTTTTTCATACATGTTTGTTGTAATATAATGCTTATACCCGTGACATAGCCACTAACCAACATAACGTTCGCGATATTGAAGTGGCAAGTGCGAGTGAGATTGAAAAGCAAACACTGTCAAGTGACAACTAACAATTAGATGTTCACAGTTGTGGTAAGTGGATATGCAGTAAGGTCATTATTACGTGGGAATGTGCACCGCTTGGTATTTTTAGTACTCATCATGGATGAGCAACTGCACCTACAAGTTTGTGAAGTAATCAGTGAATTCATAAACATTGTTTTGAAACATATCGAAGAAAAGTTGCTCAAGAACAGCCTAAACTACAACGTGTGTGGCAACGGAACTGGATTGCTAGAAGAAAAACCCGTGAGGTAAGTTATAAACTTCTACAAAAGTTAGCGGTCGAGGATACTCGGGGATATTCTTTTGCACTAAGATTAACTGAAAACTCTTTTATTACGTTACTAGACCATGTTACCCCAGTATTACAAAATCTAACACATATATATCTTATATCGCCCGCCAAGATTAAATCACATGCAGTTACGGCTAGAGCGGGGGTGGTTGGCGAGGGAGGGGAAAGCGAGGGTAACGCGGGACAAAGCAAAGGGTCAAAGAATAGAGCAGGCTGCTATTCACTTGTTATATTCTTGTCACACTTATCACTTGTCACTCGCAATTGTCACTGCCTGTTGACATGCACTCAGCACTTGTCGTTTGTCAGTTTCATTTGCCACTAGCACTTGTCACTCCTCAGAATGTAAACCTAATAAAAAAATTGCTCATAAATCCCAAACCTAGTCTACTACTTAAACAAATCTTGAGGCTGCCAAATTACAACCAATTAATATTTTTCTATCATTATGCCTTATTCATTAATTAAAAACATGTTATAGTACGCCTTTTATAATGCAGCTAATGTTAAAGTAGATATTGGGTAGAAAACATTTTTAGTTAGTAGAATTTGGTAGATTTTATCTGGTCATACTGCTAAGGTTGGTGCTTGTGATTTGGTGTGGTTTCAGCCATAGATATAGTATAAACTCCATATAAAATGAGGCAATATTCGTGTAGAAACTAGTTTTATTTCAATGTGTAGTGTTCGAATAAACATTTGAAATCATTGTATAAACTTCAATTTTCCAGAGCTACCACTTCTTCGTTTGTAGTTTTTGAGAAAGGGTAATTAAAATCATAGACTAAAAATTTACGTCAATCCGCCAACTACAACTAGGGATGAAGGAAATGTCAAAAAATATCGATATATCAAAATTAAATATATATGTATATATCGATGAAATTTTCTAAAAAATATTTGTTATTTATGCATTTCTTTTATATTTGCTTTTACTAGTCAAGTTCAATCATCAAGTCAGTATTACTAATCATATAAATACCAAACTAGAAACAACATTTCTGATAAGGAAGCGACAGAAATGTAAAATCATAATAAAACATCGATAAAAATATAATGCTTATTAATCAAACAAAATAAAATACCATACACTGAAATGTACTTATGTACCCTAATACTTATTCAAAAGGAACAAAGGAAAAAGTCTAAATATGATTTGCTCTGGTGAAAGTCGACTTCTGCTATTGGGTAGGCTAAGATTAACAATTGATGCCACTCTGTCTGTCTGTCAGTTCAAAATTTTAATGGATTATCTCAATTTGAAGTTTATATCGATTTTGATGTATTTTCGATACTTGATATTTTGTGTATATTATCGATGTATCGAAATTAAAAGTATCGCCCAAAATATCGATACATCTACAACTACGATTCTAAATAAAAGAAGTCGTGACAAGATATTTCTCGTCTTATCACATGATTATAATGTGAAAATAATATAATTCATGAACGAACGGCAAAGGACTTTACGCTTACGACCTGAAGACATGGCCACAACAAGCACTGCGGTTACTACGGCCTCTTCACAAATACCGGAGGTAGATAAATGAATAGATGTAAACACAACCTTATCTTCTTTCATTGATGTGTTATTATACTGAAATGCTTATTTCAAGTTGAGATAAGTGGTATTTAATCGCGTCTGTTATCTGTTTGAAAACACGATGAGGTCTGTAAATATTTTCGGAGTTTTTATGTGCAAATATATTAAAGGATCGTTTGAACCAATTTTGAAACGAAAGTATTCTACAAAAACGCCAGGTTTACTTAGTGATATAAACGTACTGGATCTAACAAGAGTTATTGCCGGACCATTTTGTACTATGACTTTAGGGGACTTAGGCGCATATGTCATTAAAGTAGAAAGTTTGGATGGAGATGAAGCCAGAAAGTGGGGACCACCTTTCGTGCATAATAACAAAGATTCTTTCTATTTTATGTCTGTAAACAGGAATAAGAAAAGTATCTGTATAGATTTTAAATCTGTAGAAGGTAAGTTGTCTATTTAGTTATTTTTAAATTTATAGTGACATTATGACTCATATTTCTGACTGCATTTGTCTATGTTTAATTTTTATAAAATGATTTTGTTTTTGCACATTTACAGAGGTTCGAAAAGTCAAAACATACCACAACATTGCCTTAAGACTGTCTAACTTTAACATGTCGAACATTATATTGTGGTACAAGTGTCAATTCACTAAAGAATATACTATGTTTATAATGATTAAGAGAACAATAAATTTAGTATTAATGTATATAATGTTTCAGGCAAAAATTTAATGTACGATCTAGCTAGAAAATGTGATGTGATGGTTGAAAACTTTGTACCCGGCAAACTGGACCAACTGGGCCTGGGCTATGATAGGTTGAGAAAAATAAATGAAAAGCTTATATACTGTGCTATTACTGGTTTCGGCCCAACTGGACCATATGCACAAAAACCTGGGTAAGCAGTCTTGATAATAAGTTGGATAAGATTTTTTTTTATAGGATAGGGTGATGAACAAGCACACAGTCCACCTGATGGTAAGTGGTTGCTGTGACTCCTAGACATCTACATTTATCCTCAATAAAGAATCAAAATGCAGATGAGTCATCACCCGTGAAAACTAAGATGGAATGCTCTCTCCAGTAAAATGGGTCTCCGGCTCTCTACACTCACCATACGGAACACAGCAGTGTCAAGCTGCCATTTTACGCTGGTATTCTGTGAGAGCGTGGTCCTTCCCTGGTTGAGCCGACCCATTCGTGCTACAACTATACTACTAATATAGCTGCAGCATGGCTCTACCACATATAAAAGGTAGTAGATGCGTAAATACTGTATAAAAATTAAAATAATGTATACTTGTTTATAGTGTATTATTCAACAATATAGTTGAGTTTCTGTGTGGTGCTGAAGCTTTTTTCAAAAACAACAAATATGTCTTCATGACGTTTATTATCTACTTCATTACAATAATGAATTAAAACTAATTCAATGCAATACCAACTTCCTTAACTAAATAATTACATTACTACAATGAGGACTATAATTAATATAATTCTAACTGCAATGGCTTTTACAGGATGGTCAAAGCAAGTATGTTGATTGAAAGTATGAGAACTTGGTTTGACCAGCAATAGCAACTATACAGTGAGGCCAGTGTTTTCTGTAATGTTACACTTCATAACATCTTTTGACTTATCTAATATCAAAAGTTTAATCGTCACAATTCTTGATCAATGTGTTGTTGTAAAATTATGGCTACTGGTAAATATCATGTTTACGAGGAATCTAATATCAAAAGCTTAGTAGGACAATTTGGAATCAATAGGTTATCAATTATTTACTTTAGAACAAAATAATCAAAAAAATAATATACTTAAAACATCTTTGTTGTTAACAATTATTATAATTTAAATTAACAAATTAAGTAAATAATTAAAATAATTGTTTATTATATTATATTACTAGCTGATACCTGCGACTTTGTCTGCGTTGCTTACACACATCACTGAACATGTGCTTATAAAAATCGTTGTTTCTTAAAACTAATAACTTTATTTTAAATAAAGATATCACATTTTTTTTTTAGATAAGTGTCAAATGTCTCAAATAAAAATCTATCCAGTAGTTTTTCTGTGATGCGCACACAACTGCAAACCTCTAACATGTTATTTATATAGATATATTATCATTATACTCCTTATTAAAAATAGTAAATTCAATAATAATAAGTGATATGGTGTATAAAGTTATCTACGCCATTTCATGTCATGGGTGTCATACAAGACAACTCAGGGAAGGCTAGGAAGATGAAGTGGCTACCAATAAATCAGCCATGATATGCAGTTTCAAAGATGTGAAATATCTGGTACTACAAATGGAAATATCGAGTGATTATGTGATTATACTGATTCTCCCCGCCAATCGAGAGGCTCCTGTTTAGCATTGGACTGTTTATGGGCTGATGAGGAGGGGCAATGAGTGATACATGCTTTTAAGAATATCTCTTTTGTGCATTAGTTCTCACAGTAGTATAGTTGCAGCATGAATGGGTCGGCTTGACTGGAGAAGGACCACACTCTCACAGAAGAACAGCTTAAAATAGCAGTTTCTTGTGTGTCGAGAACTAGAGACCTCTTTAAACTGGTAATGAGACATTCCACTTTAGTCTTCAGGGGGTGAATGACACATTGCATATTTTATATTATATACTATCATATGGACTGTATGCTCATTTGTCACTTATATTCTATAAAAATATTATAATTTTCATTGTAGGTATGATGTAATAGCAGCTGCTATGGGAGGTCTGCTTAACGCAACAGGGGAGAGAAATGGCAACCCAGTGAAACCTGGTGTTGCAATCACTGATATAACAACTGGTTTACATGCTTTTGGAGCAATCATGACAGCATTGTACCACAGAAAAAATACAGGAAAAGGACAAAAGATTGACTGTAATCTATTATCAACACAAATCTCTAGTATGATTAACATTGCTAATGCATATTTGAATTGTGGAATTGAGCCACAGCGCTGGGGCACTGCCCATTCGAATATAGTGCCATATCAAGCTTTCAAGACGAAGGACGGTGAAATAGTTATTGGAACAGGCTCTAACGCCCAATTTGCAGACCTGTGTAAACTCATTGGTAGAGAAAGTTTGATAAATGATGAAAGATTCAAAGACAACTCTGTAAGAGTAAAAAATAGAGATGAATTGATTGAGATTATTAGTAAAGTTATTGAGACAAGAACAAAGAAGGAATGGATGGAAGTTTTTAAAAATGCCTCATTTCCCAATGGCCCAGTTAACACAATGAAAGATGTGTTTGACGATGAGCATGTAAAAGCTATAGAATTGGTAAAAGAATTACCTCATCCAGATGCTGGGACCGTAAAGGTTGTTGGACCGCCAACTGTTTACAGTGCTGGGGGTAATAGTGCTAGATCTGCTCCCCCCACCTTAGGACAACACACAAAGGATATTCTGTCAAACTTTCTGGGTTATCATGAGGCTAAAATCAATGATCTTTTTGATAAGAAAGTTGTGCGATGATTATTTTTATGATAAACCTATAAAGTGTAAAATCATATATGGGTAATATGTGCTCAAAATTATACTAAAAAATAATGTATTATAGTATACTAAGATACTCTGTAATGAAGATAACACTGTGAAGATTAATGTGTCACATCAAACTGAAGTATGGGAAAAATATCAATTAAAATAAAATATTTTTATCAGTACAGACTTTATTATTTCTTGTTTTATTCGTTGTTCTTATCTCAAGGAAAAACTGGTTGTTTGTGTACTCATAATTGCTACAAAACTAGTGGTAGTGTAGTTTGAACAAGCATAGCAGGTTCGAACCCCGTCGGCACCAATGAAATTGTTAATAGCAATTTAAAGTACAGATTCACCGCATACTCGACGGTTATGTAAATCAGTCTCTCTCAAAGTGGGTGATAACGCCCCCTTGTGGGCGTTGGAGACCTAGAGGGGGGCGTTAAGGGGCCCAGAAAAAAATGGGGAGCGTTGACGTGGTTTAGCGGGCGATGATTGCTTTGTAATTTCATTTAGATACTTTATATTTAAAAATTTACTAAAATTAAAACCTACCTGCTACTCAGTATCGAATAATTAGTTTATGTTTCTGCCCTGTATGATAGTTTATAAACTAGAAATACTTAACATAGATTTCATAGGATAGCCCGTACGCCGTACACAATCAAGTTGTAACAAGTTTTTGTTAAATAACGCTACTGGTGCAATTCGGTAGCAATCGGCTGTTTCATCGATACATGTCTTAACTTGCTCAGTACGCTTGAGCGTCGAAAGTAATAAACGAGTTTTTGTGTTTGTCTTATTCCTGTCGGTGCTGATTTATTTAAATCCTATATAAAAGCTCGTAATAATTTTTATATTTTCATTAGTGGTTTCGCGCGCAATCTTTAAACAAGTATTTAAGTTCAACACTTTATTTACATATTTTTAAAAAAAAAGCCACGTCGAAAGCAAAAAAGAAGAGACGGCAATATAGTGCAGAATATATTAAATATGGATTCATAGAAAATTCGTCAAATCCAAAATTTTTACGTGGTAGAGCCATGCTGAAGCTATATTACTGGTATAGTTGTAGCACGAATGGGTCGGCTCGAACGGGGAAGGACCACGCTCTCACAGAATACCAGCGTAAAATAGCAGTATAACGCTGCTGTGTTTCGTATGGTGAGTGTAGAGTACCGGAGACCCTTTTTTACTGGAAACGAGGCATTCCATCTTGGTCCTCACGGGTGACAACGCATCTGCATTTTGATTCGCAAACGCGGATAGATGTAGATGTCTATGGGCCACAGCAACCACTTACCATCAGGTGGACTGTGTGCTCGTTTGTCACCCTAATTCAATTTAAAAAAATCCATGTTTGCCTTTGTGCCTTCTTTGTTCAAAAACATTTTCAAACGAAGCGATGAAGCTTTCAAGATATCAAGATCATTTGAATAAAATGCATCCTGATAAGAAAGACAAAAATGTAGCCTATTTTCAAGACCTGGAAAAGAAGCATAATGCTCAGCCAAGTGTATCAAAACTTTTTTCGGTGGCTGCTAAGCAAGACGATGACGGACTTCGAGCTTCATACAATATCTCTTTGTTAATGCTCAAACAGTCAACCACACACCGTCGGAGAAATGTTAATTTTGCCGGCAATAAAAGAGGTTATAACTACTGTGATCCATAAACCGGCAGCAGACATAATTCGAAAAATTCCTTTGAGCAATAGTTCTGCTTCTGTGCAAAGACAAATTGATAAAATGGCTGATGAACATTGAAGAGTCATTGTGCAATCATCTGAAGACTTAGTCAATTTTCTATTCAGTTGGATGAGTCCACTTTACCAACTAATGAAGCAAAAAATATGTCAAGAACTGTTATTTGCCAGAAATTTAAAGACAGACACAAAAGGAGTAACCATATTTAAAACACACTGGAAAAGTTTTGTGATTGAAAAGGAATTCCCTTGAAGAATATTATATCAGCTGCTACAGACAGTACTCCAGCTATGACGGGGTGTCAAAAAGGGTTCATAGCGTACTTAAAAAACAAAATTCCAGATGCGCTTGCTGTACATTGCGCTCTACATCGACATTTGGTTGCTAGAAATTTAAGTGAACGACTGTTTCAATCAATGCAACATGTCATCAGAGCAGTCAATAAAATCCGAAACAACTCTTTAAATGACAGATTATTTCATCAGCTTTGTGTTACTAATGATGAAGATTTCAACCGATTGATCTTTCACGCAGAAGTGCGTTGGCTATCAAAAGGAAATTGTCTGACTCAATATTACAATCTGTTTGACTCTGTCGTAGAGTTCTTGGAAAACAAAGACCGCAGAATTGCGCGACAACCTCATCACAACAAAGAATGATATCGCATACCTGACATACCGTTATTAATTGCTTAATGATATGAATTTCCAACTTCAAGGCGATGACTTGAACTTAATAAAAACAACGTCGTTGCTGCTTTCGTAGCCAAGCTGCTCTTACACAAGAAGAATATCGGCAGACGTGAGTTCCATAATTTTCCCAATTTATCTGTATTCTGCAACAATGACGACTTGCTTGTCCATTGCCAACATTTGGAAAATCTCCACAGTGATTTCATTGTAAGATTCCAGGACATTTTGAAATTAGAAATACCACACTGGGTGTTAGATCCTTTTTCAAATGTTAACATAGCAGTATCACCCCAATCGGAAGAAGAACTGATAGAACTGACAACGAACGAGGAAATACAATCAAATTCTAAAATGGCTACCAAGAATTTTGGCTACAAAAGTCAATCCCGCAGTTGTACCCTGGATTGTGGTCGATCGTTCAACGATTTTTGATAGCATTCTCATCGTCATATTTGTGTGAACGCGGATTTAGCTCTGTGACAACACTGCTTACTAAAAAAATAAATCGTTTGCAAGTTACTGTTGACTGTTGAGTAAAATCGAACCCGATACTAACAAACTTATTAAAATCATCAAATTCATCCATCTCATTAGCTTAGTTTTAAAACTAAAATTGATTACCTATCTATATTGTTTCTTTTAATTTGATTAAAATATATTCTTAATATTATAAAATTGCGTTTTAATTGCTCACTGGTAATGATGTCTAGTTTAGAATGTAATAGTGATTAATAACAGGCTGATGCATTTTTTATAAAAAATATATATTTTGCAAGCCCCAAAATAAAAATCAGCTTGTTGTTAATAAATTTTTTCAAGTCACCATTCTGACATGTTAGAGCTGGGGGCCACTCTGAAGGTACCATTCATTTTGTATGCCACAAGTTTTTCTCAGTTTTCCATCGTGTTTTCTCGAAGTATTGATTTTTAGAAACTGTTATTATTTAATTTGGGACACTCATCAAATCGACGTGTTTCACTCCCTATCGCGCTTTTTCCTACCACTATCAGAATTTGGTCCAATGATAAAAGTTGGGTGTCTCGTCAAGACGAAGCTGTGTATAAACTTTCAGCCTGTTAATAATCACTGAAATCCCTTGTATGTGGGCCCGTGGACTATAAGTTTAAACACCAGAACCGACTAATATAGCACACCTCTAAATTAATTAAAGTAATGAAATTGTGATTTTTAAGTTTTAGGAGTGTATAAAAAATTGAAATTTGAAAAATAATTGATTTTCAAAAGGGGTTGTAGAATAGTTTGATAATCTCTGATGTAAATAATTGTGAGAAAACTTGCATGTTTGAGAAATACAAAAAATATATTTTAAAGATACGCGTGACAGCGCGGCGGACAATTCCTTGTCCTAAAACCCTCTTAGAAATGACAGTAGGCTTGTGTCCAGCATTGGGACGGATCACACACTGACTTTAATTTCTCCACTTTCGATAATAATCACTTGTTATTTGAATTTTATCAATGAAAAGAACACTAGGTAATGTGTATGTAAATATATTCATTCAACTTTATTTTCTGCATAAATACTGGAGCATTGTCATAGTAAGCGTCTAGACGACACTACCCTTGAAAACTTTTTTCTTGCCTACACAACTCCACAATTGTAAGGCTTCCATAGGTTAAAGTCTGTGCCCCTTTGAATTCGTTCTTGCAAAAATTACTGGCCACGCCCATAGTTCAGATTAAATAAGATTAAAAAAAACATAGTACGTAGTAACCGAGGGTCTAATGATCTCATATTATTATTTCTTTCTCTTAGTTAAATATATGTATGAATCAACAATGACTTGAAGAACTATGTTCATGTTTATGTGTTATTAACCGGTTGGCGTGCCATCGATTACTTTTGTGTGTGGCGTAAGACACGCGAGTCGTGTCTTTTTAAAAATCGTTATAACTCGCTCAAATTGCTTTTTTGGAAAATTTATCCAGAACAAAATATTCCTTATTTTGCGAGTAGTTTTTGTTTCTGGATATTTTGAAAATTTGAAATTTTTAGGGGTTGACAACCTTTTTTTAACGTGTACATGGTACTATTTTTACTTTGTGGGTTTTAAATCATGTTGTGGAAAAATTGTCTAATAAGTAACAAATAATAGCACTCATTGCGATCGCTAACAAACTCAAGTTGTAAATAAATTTCTGGAAAACAAGTCTCCTGTTAAACAAAACAATGCGTTTGTCTTATTGTTTAATTTTGCTTAAAATTGTTGAACTGCCGTCTTATTACTATCATATGGCCGAATAGACCTACGAAGTACCATGTGCTCTTGTGATATGGTATAAGGTTTATTTTTGCTTGAAGCAGTTCGAAATGTCAATCCGCCGCCGTATAGCGCCGGCGTTTTTTTCCTTTTGAAAACACTTGTTTTGCTATTCTTACTAATTACATTTGTATAACATTAAATAATATTTAACATTTGTAAATATCAATGAATGATATACCTTATTTTTATTTTTCAAATTAAGGTTCTTCATTGTTTGATATTTACAAATGTTATTATTAGGTGAAAATTTAATTTAATAAAAACCAAGGTTTCCAGGGTGATTTAGCTGTACCTACTTATATAAATGATTTTTTTATAACAACAAAAAATAGTACAAAAGGTTTGTAATCTCTTCATAAAAAAAGTCACTTTCTCTCAATTTCAAAGAAAACGCGTAAAAAAAAAAACACGTAGTTACCCACTAAAAACAAGTATCCTTCCATTTGTAACTTATGTTTGATGTCAAATAAACTTAATTAGGTCTAAACAAGTAAAAAAAGCATAAAAAAGAACATTACTTTTACACATGGCGGATGGCACAATAGGCGTGTCATTTTTGTCTGTGGCGCTTAACACGCCCGGTGTGTCATGAAATATTTGTTCGCCGCCACAGCTAAAAGCTGTCGAAAATTGGTGTCGCAACGAATCGGTTAACCTTTGTTCTTAGATAAATATATAAGACCTTGCACAATATCTCTTATCTCTATATTAATATTTCTAGAGAAATATTGAAAGGTATTCACGTTTACATAATAATAGTGATAGCTTAAACTTGGGTTTCATTTAAGATTTTGAAGTATACAATATCTTTTGTATAAATCATAACAGGGTCGTCTAACGAACGTAAGAAAGTAAAAAAAACGTACTAACTAAATGTTTAAATATAAATAAGACTACCCATTTGCCATTAAATAAACTTTTATTAACGTTTATCTATATATGCTATACAAAAAACAAATATGTTTTAACTGTATTTAAAATATTTTAAATAAAGACATGCTTTTTAACATTTAGGCCGAGATCCCCGAGTTCTTGTCTCAAATTGGATGAAAACTACGTTAATTAAGGTTCATAAATAAACTACTTTCAAAATTTATAATATCTCTTATTTATAAACATCGGTTATATGATTAGAATCACTATTAAAGAGAAAATGATAGAAATATAAAAAGAATAAATTTTAAACAATATAAATTAGACTTGAAAATATTTCTTTGTTTCATATTTTAAATACCTTATTATCCTAAACTTTTAATGAAGTAACTAACACTTTTCTTATTTTTGTTTCTTGACATAAAAAGTTAATGATCTTTTTTTGCAATTGTAATAAGAGATCAAAAATTGTGTAAATGGGGCTGCTATAATGTAATGTTCAAAGTTAACTGACGTTTTCAGGCTCCAGTGGAACCAGTGGCCGTTATCACACTGCGTCCAAATCGCACGCAGACGCGCAAGAAAGTCGTGTGGACCGAGGACACCGTCGACAATGAGAACATGAATAAAAAGAAATCCAAATGTGAGATATACATTTACGAGTTATTTACTCGCTTTCATTTATTCCGCTGTAACCTCTCATCGATTTCTGTCATTAATAATGTTCTCCGGACCGAATTTCGGTCACGGCGGCCGGTCTCAACGGAGACTAGCCATCTGCGCAGGACCGGATTATAGTGCCCGAATGTGTTCGCAAGCACAAGTGCACTCTTTCACTCACTCTCTCACTGTCATAGTCCGATGTGACGGTAATCCGACACGATCGGAGAGCGACCAAAAGCGTTACGTGCTTTCCGAGACAAAGGTGTGAAACTGCCAATTTCCTGACTCCGAGTTTCTTGATAGAAAAACTTAATAACCTATTTATTGCAGTCGTAACGTGTACGCCATTAATACTTTCAGTAACAATTTCAAAGAATCTGCTATAATGCCTTTACTTCGGAATTTTGATAGCTCGATTTAGGCTTCCATGTGCTTCGCTTGTGGCGCGACGACAGCGCCGCTACTTAGGTATATATGTGTGTGACGACGAAAAATGTTCAGGTTGCTGCATATACGAGAAGCCGCGTCGCTTTGGCGAGTCTGAATCGGAGAGCAGCGACGACGAGTGCGAGCATTGCTTCGGTCACGTGGAGCAACGCCGCCAAAAGCGACAGGCCGGCGAGACCACCACGGAGTTGCAGGTGAGTTGTTTACGATTGTATTGTCAGTTGTTTGCGCTGTCAAATTTTATCGCCGTTGTACTTTTACGAGCATGGAGTGTAGAGTAGAAGGAGAACCATCTCATATGGGAGGAAAGTTGTAAGTGTCCAACTGTATACTGAAAATAGAGGTTCCAAAACCTACCACAATAGCGCTGGCGTCTGAAAAACTACGATATGAATATAGCTGTTGTAGACGGAGTGAAGTCAGCTGAATTTAAACATTTAAAAATTTTCATGACTATAGTAGTTAGTAAAATGCCAGTATACAAAACCTCAACTATTTACGTAGTACAAAACCAAGCGGATTGATCGGTCCTTGTTTATTTCTCCATCTAATTCTAATTACTTTTGGCGCTTTTTTTATTTGTCCTATGTTACCGCAGCGCCACCCTTATTGCACGTGTTTTTACGGACACTTATTCATATACAGAGATGGTTCTCCTTCTACTCTATACTCCATGTTTACGAGACTAAACAAAGCTTTACGTATTCAGTTGTTTCATTACTAATTAAAAAAGATGAAATTCCATATCAAGTAAAAAGGGTCTCAGGTTATCTACACTCTCCATACGAAACAGTAGAATTAAGCTGACAACAAACGCTGTTATTCTGTAAGAGCGTGGTTTTACCCACGGAGCAAATACAAAAATGAGGCATTGTCATTAGATTTCACTATGTAACAACGTGTGACAATTTGCGGGGTGAGGGGGTGTTAAGCCCCGCCCACTTAACTATTTTCCATCTACCGAAATAAATAAATAGTAAAACTACTTGCATCGTTCCATATCGATATTGCAATGTAGTTTAGCTACCTTAACGATAGATGGCGGCCTATTCACGAAATGATTATAAAAACTATAAAAATAGTATTTATTATAGGCGATTAAAAATTCTTTAGGACTGAATGCAAAACAAATTTCAGCAGTAGAGTATGATTATTTTACCAATACTGAGCTCTATGTACCTTTATATTTTTAGTTTCTAGTGTCGAATATATTTAATTATATTTGAAAGCCGACGCAGAGATTTTTCTAGAACTATTTTCATAAATTAGGTGTAAATTACTTACAAATGAAATGTGATGCCATCCATAGCATCAGAGAAATCATCAAAACTTAGTTTTTACACGATAAAACACAACACTTCATCCTTTTCTTAATACTACTAAAATACACCGATTTGCGATTTTCGACACATAAGCGCAGAGGACGAATGCTGACAGTATTCTAACTAAAGCCACGCCCACTGTCATGACGCCAGAACCTTGTTAGAATCACAGTGCACAGTTGCTTAGGCCATCTCCTCTTTGTATTTGCTCTGTGGTATTATCCCGATCGAGCCGACCCATACGTGTTACAGCTGGCTCTACCACGTAAATAAACTTTGATCCTTTAAAATAAGTTTAATTTATTTTCAGGTAGCTTCGGAGAGGACAGCAGAAGTGACGCTCAAAACAACAGAAGATCGTCCATCGTCCCCCGCACCCTCCACTCCGCCCACCCCGCCCGCTCCGCCCGCTAGTTAGACTGCGTTTACTTTTAAAATTAACTTTCACTACCCATTTCACTTTGTTAAAACATAGACGTTACGTTATGGTATACAGTTTATAAATTAATAAAAACAATATTGTGAGAATATAACAAATCTAAAATATACCTTATCTCGTAGTAATTAGAGTAGAAAGTGATTAACAATAGTAGATCAGCAGGCGTAGTTTAAAATGTAGCGCGGCACTAAGCCGGGCTACATTTTAAACTATCGATCGAACGTAAATAAAACATATTTATTGCAAAATGAAATGACTTCTCGTCAGTTTATGGACTGTATCTAAACTTGAGGGATCGTAAAGCGTAAATATAGACTGACTAGTTTAACGCAAATTAAGAATTTCCTCAAACTGTTGTTTTCCTTGTATAGTTTAAGGAGTTTTATTTTCCTTTGCACTCGAGCTTAAGAATAAAAATAGTGACTCACCAGTGAAAAAGATGTAATCACACTGGAGGCTATTTAAAACACATTATGTACTTACATTTCATCATTCATATGTATTTGAAATATAAACCGGCAAATTTTTGTAACATACGTGAAAATTCAGAATAGAACGAGGTATTTCTAATAGTTTAAAAAAGGAGGAGGTTTTCAATTCGTCGGAATCTTTTTTTTATGTATGTTCACCGATGGCGACTCGAAGACGCCTGAACCGATTTGAAAGTCTTTTTGTTTCAAAGGGTATACTTTTCTGGTGGTCCCATTTAAATTTTGTAGAAATCGGTCGAGCGGCTTAAAAAAAATCAACAATAAGTTATATTTATATTGAATTCGATTAAAATTTTTCATTCTACCACACTTGTAACACATCTGAATTTAAAAAAAAATGGTAGAAGAATACTATTCTATGCTACTATAATATACTCTATGTTAAAATAATGATAAATAAAACGTACTACAATTTATAATGTATTAAATTTTATTTTATCTATTACTTGTACTGTGTTAATATACTGTATTGGAAATACTTGTCTATTGATAGAGGAATTAATATTATTGCATCTTGCGATTCCCGTTCATATTAAAATGTCCTATTATATTAAACAGCAATAAATAAACGTAAAGCAATGTTCTTTTAATAATTTGAAAGTGTTCGTTAAATCTTGGAAAATTTATAATTACTGTTGATTCAAAAGAACAATGGCAGACTTTCATACATAAAATATGTTGAGAAGAAATGGTAGCGTCTATTTATCAAAAATATCTTAAAATGTTAAGCGAATTTTGCCCTGAGAAGGCGTCAAAAAAAAATTAGATTTGAACCTTTTTATGTTATGTCACTTAGAAAAAGTCATGCGTCCTATGGTTGTTTGATGTTAGCTTAATACATTTTCAACATAATGTACCTACCTACATAATTGACAGTTTTTAGATTATTGTATCTCTATTGTATATTTGCATACTATAAATGTATATTTCTGGTATGGCTTCTGGGCCTTTGTGCCATACAGTGACATTTTGTTTTAGCTAGTGTTGCCATAACATTAAATGGAATTGTTACATATATGATTGGGATAATGTATTATTGCAGGAAGTTCTAAGGAGGTGTAAGAGACTTATTACAACCATATTACTTTTATTTTTATTATTACTGGTAATATAGTTATTACTAATGATAACTTCCTATAAAAATATTTTGTGTTTGTGTGTTGTGTTGTTAGTCTTACAAAGTGTAAGTATACGAAAATAATATAGTAAATAGCAACACTTAAATAGTGTAAAATGATTTGATATTCCCAAAACGTATGTTTTTTCTGTGGCTTTAATTAAAATATATTTTTATTTGAAAAATCATACCAAAATAATTAAACTCATTTTATATATGTTATTTCTAGACGCAACTATTTTTCTGTCCTTGTTATAAATGGAAGCTTCGACAACCGTTTGTCGTGGTCAAAGTACCGATCTGCTACTCTGAAGGTATTGGGCTGCAATCCAGGCCGTTATCACTTAGAGCAAGATCCTAAACCACGACACGCCACTTATATTCTGACGAACGAGATGAATTAGATTGAGTAGTGTTAGTACGTACTATGATCGCATGCCTACCTGCTAGCTTGGCCAGTGGGTCATTTTCCAGGTATCAGGTAAGCAAGATACGTAGAAACATTCTTCACCTCACGTTAATTCTCCCAGCTGATTTTTACGTATATGTTAGATAATATCGTTAAAAATCAGTCATCAACACCCAGAAAATTTCCGTCGGCAGTATCGCTTTGCAGATGCTTTAAAGCTCTCAAAATATTACTCATTTTCACTTATATTCTGAAGCTCCATTTATATATGTTAGCTAGACAACTATTTTAAAACGTTTTACAAGAAGGCAGACCGATCCAAGGGGTCCTAGCCCTAGACCCACAGCGTTACTCACGCTCATGCGCGCGGGTGATGCCCACGCGCTCATTTATACCCTAATATGCTTTAAAAAAATATGTTCATAACTATGTATACAGTGGCCTATTTATTTAATGGTTTTATGTCTGAAATGCTTACGCTGCAAAGCAGTTAAATTACATTACTCTGATATTTTTAAGTTATATAACATATAATTATATAAATATCAGATTTATTAACTAATTATTTTTTATAATGACAATTTTGATATAGTTATGTTTTATTGGACTCACAACCTACATACTACAACAAAAGCAAATTTGACAACCCTAGCGTTTTTTCTCTATTCACCCCATATATCGTATCTATTGACACCGGATTCCCGATAAATGGAAACCGACTACTTTTATCTAAATTACAGATAATTCGCATGTTTTTACTCGTTTGAAGCATTAGTATTCGATAAATTACAACAATACTCACAACATCAAAGTGTTTTATTGTCAGCTAGTATACAAGATATGTAAGAAAAACAGTGTAGAAGTTGAAACGTGTCTATTCACCCCATTTTACGGTACCTGATACCTGCAAAATGGCCCACTGGGCAAGTTAACATTCGATCACAGTACATACTAACACTACTCAATCTTACACATTACGTTCGTCAGAAAATAAGTGATGTTTGGTGGCCCTGGGATCTTGGACTATTTGTGTAAAAATAAATTATTTGATTTTCGTTTTAGTTTCCAGTCCGTTTGTCTCGCGATTCTCCTCGAATCTCTTATCACTGCATTCTTCCTATTATGTGTCTATGTTGTCTAATAATATAGTCTATTGCTTGTTCCCAGAGACGACCTAATAAGTAAAAAGGAACCGCACATACTTACTTCATTAAAGGAAACGTGTGCGTCACAGTGCACGTTCACGTTGCGAAATGCGACCGGCATGTCAATTTTATCTTGTCTATCGTGCAGTGCAGTGTCGTATCCTTTGGTGCTCGTTACTTGTATTTGTAGTTTTTATTTTACGTGTGTTTTGTTTGGAAATGTCGAAAATACGGCAGAACGAATTATTATCATTATGGTGTTGTAAGATAACCTAACTATAACTAAGCAGCGACACAGTGAAATTAAATGAAGCAGCATCTTCCTGACAACAACACAAAATTATAAAAACTGCAGTTTTTATAATTTTGCGTTGACAAGCGTGGCAACTATGGCAAATATCTTACTTATGAGGCAATCTATTATGAAGACCTATATGCAACAGAACGGTATCGGAATGTCTTGGGTTTTGTGATTTAAGCATTTGTTAAAAAATAATTGTGAACCAATAATGATTATTTTGAATATAACCGTTTTACAATATATAATGTAGTTTCATTTTAAAAACTAAACATTAAAACAATGTTTTTCATAATAAAAACAAAAAATATTTTCTGGAAATCCTAGAAAATCTACCCTCTGACATATGGCGGTATAATGATCGATCTATTGTATTTTATAGAATAAGGATGACAACGAACACAAAGCCCGGCTGTGGTAAGTGGATTCTGTGGCTCATAGTCATCTTCGTCTATCCTCGAATAAGAATTGAAATCCAGATGGGTTGTCACATCCGAGGACTAAGATGGAATAGAATAGAATAGAATGCCTCGTTTCTAGTGAAAATGACCATAATTAAAAAAAAAGTAAAGCAGGTAGAGGGAAATCTGAGCCTGAGACCCTTTATCTAAGGTTCTGTTCACTCACCATACTAAACTGCACAGCTGCTATTTGACGCTGGTATTCTATGAGAGCGTGGTCTTTCCCAGGTTGAGCTAGTTGCAGCGTGGTATAATAAAGACATGACGGGGAGTACTAAGAGGCGTGAGACTTCAGATACTGCTATCGGAACTCCGCCTGCCAAGTTTAAGTTTCAATTCAATTTAAGTTTTTATAATAAAAATATTAGGCGGTACATAAACCGTACAAGATGCGAAGGTAAGTTGTGAAATCAGTCATCAAAATTAAGAGGTGCGTACACGGCAAGTCATTGGAAAGTATGGGTCAGGGGAATGAAACTGCCATACAAATTTACAAGAATTAAAAATGCATTGAAAGTTCTGTCCTCTAGTGAATGAGGGCATCCACGACTTTTTCTGCCACCAGTGGCGCCACTTTACAGTGAGGTAAAATATTTGACAGATTTCATAGCGGGGATGATAATTTCTTAGGAAAATGTAATCTTTAAAGTTTCTGTATTATTCTTTCTATATCATTAGCTATATTTTTTATTAATTACATTAGAAATGAGTATACCAAACTAGAACTAAAAGCCGATTTTTAAAAAAAAGAGTTATAAAGTGCAAAAAATCAAACCACTGACGCATTGTGTTGTGTATTAATATAATATTCTAGATAATAATAAACTATTATTTAAAACTAATTTCTCAATTAACTGACATTGTGTATCAAAAAACTTTACCTCAGTCACAACTAGCGACATCTGGTGAGTGGAAGATTAGTAGCCCTCATTAGGTACATAAACTTGTAAGCTAGTTGTCTTCAGCGTTGTAGAGATAGCGTTAATTAGGCCAAAACCCCAGAATCCAAAGCCCAAAAACCTAAATCTACGGCAGTTTTGGTCTATGGTTATGGTTGACACATAGATAATGCACTCGGTTGACAGTTCTTTCAAATAAATATGGATACGATAATTAAGAAAACAAAAAAAAATTAAGAAAACGTGAATATTTTGCAATTTTTCGTTCCTCTCCTGTCATTGGTAATAAAACTGCGTATTTTATAAATATCAATATAGTCATTGACAAAATACGCCATCTAGTGGTAACTACCGCAAGCCGCGTTGTACTAAAGAATACAACGGCATCTAGCGTACACGGTACTCATTCGAAAACTGAAATGTGAGTGGCGTATCTATCCCTTGTATACAGTGTATTATTTATGGTATGGGTTGTTTTAACATAATATCTATGATGCTGTCGCGCTGTGCCCACAAACCTGAGCTACAGCTCAATCTGATTATATCTATGACCCACTGGGTTTCTTGCTGGTTCTTCCCAGGACACAGGTAAATTTTCGAACCATTTACCATTCAATAAAAAAAATCTATTTCTATGAAAAACGAAATCATTTTGTCAAGGAGCTTAAACAGGCTCATAAATTTAATAAAACACTATCATCAGTAGAGCTAACTGTTTATTTAACTATATACATAGACCAAGTAACAGATTAGCGTTAAAAACTAAAGATACATTCAACATTTTATTCTTAACGAATAATTATGTGACATTACATCAATATGACAGGTCCCTGAAGAGCAAGTATTCTCCATTTTAAGCAGAGGTCTCTTCAATATTATATAATAATGTTAAATTGTAACACTTACAAACACACTTTTTATTTAGGTCGAAATTCAAACATTATAATATTATTTTATTAAATTATTATATATATTTACATATCATATTATTCATTATTTAATTTCTCTAACACAAAAAAACTCTAAAAATGATTGCCGTTAGAATTGGTCAGATCATAATCTGTCTGAGCATTTCAATAACCTATCAAGTGTCATGACACCCGCAGGAGGTTGACAGCGCATGCATGCCCGTGTGTCAGCCGACCCCGTGTGCCCATTTCTCAATTAAACACGCCTTGTCTTCGATCTGTTGTTCAAAGATAAAACGCTGTTTTAATCTTTGAACAGTATAGATTAAAGACAAGGCCGTAATGTAACGTTTTCAAATGTTTTCGAATTGAACATTTTCGATTGTTTTGTTTTTATTTTGTCGCGTAAAAGGAGGTAGATATTAAAATGTTTGTTGTGTGAAAAAATGTCTCTTTTGATAAAACGTATTGTTAAGCAAATAAAACAAATACCGTTTTATATAATGGCTTAATCTCATAATTTTTACACTTTATGTACAAGAAACCGGCAAAATTACGTCATGCAATTTTGAAATGAGATTGATAATATTATAAAAATAGAATTTAAATTATAAAGAAGAATCAAATATCTTAATTCATAACGAATCGATGCGTATAAGTTTTATATACAGCTGACATACAAAAGAAAAAAATACCATTGTTTACATTAGCGCCTACTGGTATCCTCCCGAACGGCCCCTGACAATTGAAGCGTAAAAACATATATATCGGTTGGGCACGTGAGGGGTTATACGTCGCCACTTGATGATTTGGTCGATAATTTATAAATTTGACTTCTCTTAATATACTAAAAATACGAAAGCTCCTATCGAGGAATATTAGCAACAGTAGGTGAAGATGCAGCCAAAGCCGTGTACACATTTATATATTATATGAATTAGGCACAAAGTGCTATGGTTGATATATCATCGGCGACATCACGAAATATTTTAGAATGAACGGGGAGACATTTGATCATTTCACAAGTCAATTTCGAGTCTCAATCTCAACGCGTCCCTTCTACCTCGGGCCACTACACGCACACGGCTACAATACGTACACAATACTCGTGCAGTTTTGCCGGCCGGCATCGAGCGGGAAGCTTACTGTCCCGGCGCCAGCGACGGCACCGGGGGAGTAATCTCCGTGCCGGCGCCGGCGTCGGTATGTGGAGCCACATGGCTACACATGCCATACATTTTTGCTTGCCCGGAAAACCGGCCGGCGCCAGCGCCATGCCGGTGCTATGCCGGCGAATGAAAAAGCGCCCAATGGCGATGTATCATGAAATGCCCAGGTCTGCCGATCGAACTACGACATAAATTGTTTCGAATGGACCATGTATTTAGTAAATATGAGCACAAGTATTCCTGATGTAGTGTTGAGGAAATAATTGATGAATTGGTTAAGCAGTCACGTGGTCGTGTAAGAGAAACCATTACACAATATCGACTATAGGATATGCTATGAAGAGCGAGGAACCTCCGAAGTAGCGAAATGATCCACGTCGTCTTATGTCAGATATAAATACCTAGAGAAGCGAGGGACTTTAGCACAAAGATGGAAAAAGCTGAGCAGGTCTTGCGATTGCGTTGAATCCTGCCTATCATACCTCCCATATCTCTATGGGAGAGGCCATGTCCAGCTGCAAACTATTTATGGAGGTAATAAGAAAAAAAATATATGAAATTAAATATAATATTGGACTTCATCAAACTCTTCCGACACTCAACACCAAACCGCTATCTTCGCCTATTAGGGCTATAAACTTACAGATTTATTTATCATAGAAAAACCAGTAAACGCAAATGCAAAACATGGAAGTATCACTTCAAAGGAATTGAGCGCACAACATGGCACAATATTTGAAACTCTCAGATTGAAATTCCATCGTTGATTAGCTATATATCAATATAATGTATTTTATTACAACACATACAGTCAATATTATATTTTTGTCTGCTATTGATGTTGCTTTTTTTATAGGATAAGGATGACAAACGAGCACACAATCCACTTGATGGTAAGTGGTTGTTGTGGCCCATAGACATCTACATCTATCCTCGTTTGCGAATCAAAATGCAGATGCGTGCCGTGAGGACTAAGATAGAATGCCTCTTCCAATAAAAAGAGTCTCCGATTCTCTACACTCACCATACGAAACACAGCAGTATTAAGCTGATATTTTACGCTGGTATTCTGTGAGAGCGTGGTCCTTCCCCGGTCGAGCCGACCCATTCGTGCTACAGCTGTACTATTGATATAGCTGTAGCATGGCTCTACCACATATAAAATGTATAGTTTTAAATACATATAAATGATGATTTCTAATATTTACGCGAACACTACACATTGTATAAACTACTTTTACGGATTCTATCGCTCCCCATGTCCCCCCTCAGTCCCCCGTGACGATGGGTGCTGGAAAGCAACTGAAACGTCGGAAATAAAAATAAATATAATTAAACGCGATATAATCCGTTCGTAGTAGTTTTAATTATAAATTATTATTTTACCCGACTTCAAAAAGGAGGAGGTTCTCAATTCCAGTGTATGTTTTTTTTTGTATTTATGTTACGCGGTATATTCGCAGATTGAGAACCAATTTTGATAATTCTTTTTTAATTAAATAGGTTAGACTACAAGGGTGGTCCCATAAATTTGGAGAAACAATTCCACCCCTAAGGGTACCAAATAAATAACTCCTTTTTTAGAAATTTGAAGTCGGTTTTTAATTTTTGTTGAAAGTTATAATTATATACAATATTCATTTATTGCAAATTTCAATAAATCAATATTCAACACTCACTAAAGTATGAAGTACCTAAGATTTTTTTCTCTACGTAATCAACAATCAATACACGTGATCGCTACAAAAAAACACAATAAGATGGATGTGAAGCAATGACCGACATAAGTAATAATACTCGTACTATAGACATTCTCAAAGACACCGCTATTCTGCCGTACAAATGACGTCATTTGCCGCTTACTTCTGTTAAAATTAAAATAAAATTCAACATCGAAATTTATTGTAAAAAAGACCTGATTATGAAATAACAAAAATATATATTTGGATATAGTTTCCCTAACTTTAACCTAATTACATACTTAACTTTTAACCTAATATACATGGTAAAATATGAAATATTGTCATATCGTAAGAGTTCAAAAACAAAAAGAAGAGAGAGAGAGAGACAAAAATCTCAATAAATGAATAAATTAAACAGAAAGTTATCTATCAGTCTTTTAAGACATGTTGTTGAGTATAAAATGTCTTAAACTCATGAATTTACAAGCAATTACTTCTTTAATAAATCCCTATGATGCAATCTATGGGGAGGCCTGTGTTCAGCAGTGGACTTTTATAGGCTGTAATGGATGTATGGATGAAACTTCTTTAAATGATTCAAGACACTTTTGTTAGAGTAAGTTTGTATTGTAGGCTTCGCAGTCAAACATTCGTAAGAACTTCGATGAGCAGAATTCAGCCAAACAAAGTAGAAGTTCATTTGGTAAATGCGTAATATAGAAATTTATTTATTTTTATACTACTTCCATTAAATACAATTTCATACTTTATATAAACATGTTTTCATTTTTTTAATTATATAGCATAATTAATTTAGATTACATGTTAAAATAATTATATCCATCGGTTGCAGACTTTAATTAGACATTATAAATCACCTCCGCATTTTTCTGAAAAAGAAAAAATAAACATGTCTATTCAAAACGTAAATTAAAGTCCTTAAAGTAAGTAAATCGTTTCAAAATATTTACATTTAATTAAACAAAATTAAGCTTTATACTAAAGTAATAAGACTTAGTTTTACCCCCACACTAGAATTTTCTCCTGTATTGTGGAGGCAGTTTACAAACATAAATTGCACAAGGACAAACATAAAGACCTGGAACAATTATTTGTAGACCTTACAAGCCATTGCGCCAAGGCTTGACATTGAGTTGCACGCAGATTCTAATTTAATTGAATTAGTACTTTCTTCATCTTTCATTAATAAAGCACTGACAATAAAAACATCGTCAAGATCGATCACAATTTACATGTAATTACAGTGCGAATTACAGGTGTAAAGGACATGGAAACTATTTTTTCGGCGTGGTCGATTATTTCGGTAGGATCAATTCGTTCGGTGCGATCAATTACTTGTGGTCCATAGACATCTACATATATCCTCCATTAAGAATCAAAATGTAAATGCGTTTTCACCGCTGAAGATTGTTGGTTCATCAGGCTATATAGCAGAGTTATTTCCACTTCAGCTAACTGATCTTTTGGTATATGTGGGTTACTATGGTTATAGTTTTTATATAGCGACCTTGATCTTCCTCATAAGACCAGCGGTGAAGAATCATTTCACCACTGGAAAAATACATTATGTAGTAGCGGTGTAAGAATATCCACTACTCCATTATCATCCTTTTGGTGTCATATGAGGCAAATACGGGGTGTATTTGCCATAGTTCTAAGGCAATCAATGGGGGAGGCCTATGTTTAGCTGTGAACTTTAATAAGCTGTTATGAATGAAAACAATACATAATGTATAATTTTGTTTTGAGAAATCATCAATAATCAGGATTATTTTAATTATGCTACGCTTCATCCTGTACTTTGGTGAGTGTATATATATAATATATATTCCTTTAAAGAATCATCTATCAAGTGCTGATTAAGTGTTTAATAACTATGCCACATTTCAACTCAGATTTGGAGGAAAACCTTTGCGACAAACATAGAGGTGATACCTTAGTATTTCATTTTTTGGAATTATGTATGTAACAGTAAAAAAAATGTATTCAGGCTAAAAATAATATATTATAATACCTATTAAGAGGTTTCTCCTTATAAGTGACAGCCTTTCTAGGCCTTCTAGTTCTTCCTTCAGCTCGTTCAGTACTGCTGTCGCTGTCTCGAGAGTCATGACAACTGTTACTGTCACGCGTGTCGATACGACTGACCCGATCACAACGCTGACTCTCGTTTTTCATCTCGCGTCGTGATTCATGACCATCGCGAGATTCGGGCGTCTCGCATCGAGTAACATGTTCCTTGTCTCGAGAACTGACCCATTGAGTATCCAACGGTTCACCTGATCCGCAAGGACCGTTTCTCGATTCTCTGAAAGTTAAATGTTTGTGTTTAGGCCAAACAATTAACATTTGAAATTTGCATTCAACACTCGTGTCCTTCCGATGACTTTGTAAAGGTCACCGTAGCTCCACTCCCAAGTGGGACGTTCGGCAGAGGGCGCAGGCGCAGGACGCGAGTGCGAAGTCAGTAGCTTGACAACAGCGGTGCGGATTAGCGTATTTTGGGTGACCGCTGCAACGTTTTCGCACGACCAGTTTTTGGTTTTGTGGTCTAGAATTTGAGTATTTGAGCGCGTTTAAATTTGCTATCGAATTGGGTTTCGTGTAGACTGCCTCGAATTAGTTTGTCTAAGTTGTACGTTTAGGACAAGAGGCTTAGGGCGTGGCCCGGTTAATTGGTTTTGGAAGTTTAAGTTAATGTTGAATTGTACCGTCGCGTTAAGTGCCTTTTGTGTGTTGGCTAGGTAGTTAGTTTGCGTGTCAGATAGGCTGATTTTGAGTCGTAATGCGGGCGTAGTATTTAATATCGTACGAAGGAATTTAGTTTGTCGTTTGTAACGCTGAACTTTGTGACTCGAGAAGAGATCGCGTTCTTGTTCGTGGTTATAATCTTGTTGCTACGTGAAACGGAAGTGAACTTTGATCCACCGTTTATTAGTCGTGCCGTGTGTTAACTTTTTGATTACGATTAATGGGGATGTTAATTAAACGTACAATAAAAGTTGGTGGATTGAAATCGTGTACAATAAAGTTGATAAACTGAGATAGTGAAATGAAGACAGAAGTTGTCAATTGGTGATCGCCCCCTTTGAGAGATCTCACCTTTGGAGTAGAGGCAACGCCTGTGGATCTGCGGTCAGACTTCGACGGTCCAGTCAGTCAAACATTATACACACCACTAAACACCACTTAACATGCACCTACACCTACCTACGGCCTGACCGAGCCTTGGGACAGTGTTCGCTTCCCGATCCCGGTCGATGCCCGAAGGGCTGTAGTGGGGGAGGCTTGCACAGAGATTTAGACCTCGTATGCGGAGCAGGGAGTCCTAGACTCCTGCCTCGCGGACTACGAGAAATTTTTTTCGCTCACGGACGATTTGATCGAGGCGGGGGCCAAGTAGCATACTAATGAAGTGCGTGAAGCTATGATGAGTGGCCTGCCCGAGTCCCCTCGGAAGCAGCCTACTCAGCCGGAGCTGTTGGGACGACTCCCAACTCTGGACCTGCCAAGGTTCTCTGGGGTCCTCTCCGACTAGATGACTTTTGTTGGGCTTTTTAATAGCCTGGTGGACGCCCGGAGGGACTCGACACCAAGCCAGAAGATGGCGTACCTCCTAGCCTCACTGGAGGGGGAGGCCCTGGGCGTCGTCGGCCATTTGAGATTGTCGGACGACGCCTACCAGACTGCTCGGGACCTCCTCGCTGGAAGATATGCCAACGTCCGGTGAATTGCGGACGAATACGTCAGGCAGCTTCTAAGCCTCCCACTGCTTAGGGACCGGGTCAGACTACGCCCGTACCTAGTGAATCCAGTCTTGGTGGCCTGTAATGCGTTGAGGCGGCTGGATTTGCCGGTGGATGAATGGTCCTTCTTGTTGCTCCACATCGTGCTGTCCCGCCTGCCTCTCGACCTTAGGATACATTTTGAGGAGAGGTATGGAGGGGACGGCGCCTCCTATATTCCGCCCTTTAGTGATCTGCTGCGGTTCGTGGAGGAGTAGTGCCGGCAGATTGAGAACGCGGCGCGCACCGTTGACGACTTACGAGCCGTGCCCAGTGAGAGGCGGGATCCGCTGGGCAAGTCGTCGTCAACCCCCCTAAAGTCGATCGGAGCTTCCACGAGAGAGCGCCCTCCCTACCATCTTACAGTGGCCTAGTGGCCAGGGAGGCGCCCCCCTGTTCCTATTGCCGAGCTTCCGATCACCGGGTGACGTCGTGCCCGAAGTTATTAGGTAAGCCGGTTCCGGCTAGGCGAACTATCGCCAAGGAGTGCCGCTGGTGCTACTCTTGTTTGGAAGGGCACCTCCAGCGAGACTGCCCGCCCTGTCCGTATTGCCAGGGCAATTACCATGCAGTTTTGTGCCTGGGTGCGAGCGGCGTCTCCTCTCGGGGCTATGCCGGGCCCTCGACTCCCACAGGCGGGGACACTCAGCCACGCCCTCTCTCGGACGACGCTCGGCGCTCGCCTGCCAGCCACTGAGCCCCTGGATTTGAAAGGGGTCCCTACCCCGACCAGTCGGGGGGTCGTTCCCCCAGGGGCGGGGGTGTCGTCGCCCCCCCTCAGCGTGTGGAGAGGAGCTTCGCGGCCACTCAGCAGTCAGCTAGACCCTTCTCACCCCCGTTAGATGAGTGCTATCGCGAGTGAGTGGTATCGCCGTCCCCCCTTTGATGGAGGCAGCCCTAGCTAGCTGCCGCCCTAGCTCCCACCACGGCCGTCAACAGTCCATTTGTCAAACTGTTCTATTGCCGACGATCTCAGTGAAGGCGTACAACCCGAGTGGCGACTGTTAGCGGTTCCCGCTCTATTGGATTCGGGTTCACAACGCTGTGTGGCCTCCACTTGGTTGGTGGGAAGACTAGGGCTCCCCTGGAGCGTTGAGTCGCGCTGTCGGGGAGTATTAGATTTGGTTTGGTCGAGCACTTAATTAAAAGTGCTTTAAATTAAAAATAAAAATGCTTTGGTTTTTCCGCGAAATGTTTCGTAATTGTAGCGGTTGTGAGTAAAAAGGTGAATTTGATATACTCCTTGAATGAGTTAAGGATGAGCACCCCTGCCAAATCTCATTCGTTCGCACATCATCAGCAATCCCATCTGGGTCAAACGTATGCAGTAAATAAGCTTAGTAAATAGTTTTGTAGCATATAACTTAAGTATAAATAGACAATTGTAATCATTTAAAATCTAATATTGTAGTAATAAACTTCTTACTGTAACTCTGTCAAAATAAATAAATATATTTTTTATTGAAGTTGGGTTCATTATCTTAATTGGCGCAGTCGGTAGGGACCCGTAAGACCAAGTATTATTTCGTGGCGAATAAAAGTTTTCGCAGAAAAATCGGTCGTACGTCTCAACGTTTTAATCGGGAAAAAGGAACAAACAAATTTATTAAGGAACAGACCAACTTCAAGGACGGAGCACCAATATTCCAGAAGGAGCATGGGGAAAACTGCAGCACTGTGAGTAGATCTTCTTCACCAAACTGTATTTTCCTACCCTTCTTATTCTCCTATTTTGTGTGTGTTTATATTCTGGTTTTGTGGGATTAATTACGCCTAATTACTAGATAAATTCACACTTAGTTATTATTCTAATTAGTTAGTAATTGAGGAATTTAAATTATTCCATTTAATTTCCTTATAAGTTCACTTAATAATAACCGAAGAGTATTTATTTTTTATTTTTTATTGGTAGTGTATTCTGTAACAAAAAGAAAGAAAAATGGAAAATTTAGTGAGAGTTCCTATGGAAATGGTTAAAATTATCCCTAATTTCGATGGTGATACTAGACTTTTACCACTCTTTATAAAAAAATGTGAGTATATACTCCATTCATTCCGAGGAAGCCAGTTACAAAACGAATATTTATTCCACGTTATTACAAGTAGGTTATCCGGAGAAGCTGCGAACCTAGTTGGAGAACGGGATCATATTAATAATTAGGACGAATTAAAAACATTACTAAGCCAACATTTTGGTGACCCGAGATCCGAGGAATGTTTGGCTTTGGAACTCGAATCCTTAAAATTAAACCGTAATGAAAATTACCAGGAATTTTGTCACAGGATACAACATTTGAGAAGTGTCTTATTTTCTAAGATTAGCGAAACGATTGACGATCCGAACTTACGTCTAGCGAAACAATCTATTTATAACCATAGTTCACTAAATGCGTTTCTTTATAATTTACCGGCATATCTAGTTAGACTTGTGAGATTACGGAACGTGACTACTCTAGAAGACGCTTTGAAAATTGTCTTAGAAGAACAAAACTTTCAGTCAGTTTATGAAAGTAAAAATTCACGGTCTAATCGAACAAACTTTAGGCCGAGTCCTAACAATAATTACACTTATTCACCTAGAAATATTCCCCATACGGAGCAATCTAGTGCAAATACATTTAATAACCAAAATAATTTGTCACCCTACGTTAATAATAACCGCTCTTTTAACTCGTCAAATAATTCATTCCAATTTAGGCAAAATAACAATCGTAACAATAGCCATCGCAATAATTATCAACAACAATCGACCACTAGGTCACCAGTACCGCCGGCGCCGGGCCCGATACAGCGTAGTCAGTATTTCGCGGACAATGCCCCTGCGCATACTCAGCGTTTAACGCAATATCAATCGCCACCTGTGGCGTCGAGTTCGAACACCGATGTAACAATGCGAACTGCTAACTCAAGGAGAATAAACTATACCAATAGTGAAATAAATCAACCTTGCAATTCGCAACAATGTATTGAATCAAATCAGTATAATAATTCGGAATTGACTGGAATTCAGAATTTTCACATATTAGCCTCGACAGGACCAGTTGTGTCAATCTCAGGTACGGAAAGTGAAAAACAACCTGAATTGATGGAAATCTCAGATGATGGTGCTACAGCGAACTTCGTATCTAATAGGGAACACGAAGGCATTCCGATTTTAAACGAAGCAATAGACTCAAAACCGCGTCAAATACTAGTTTATTCGTGGTTCTCTGATAAATTTTCGGTCAAGGACATGTCTAACAAAAAGCAGCGTATTTTAGAAGTTCATATGCCAATAAATAATAAAACATTAGTTAAAGACTTTCTGAAAGAATATGTAGACTTTAAAAACAAATATTTCATCTATTTCGAAGACCCAGCTTTTAGGATAAATTTTTCAAACGTATTAATTCAATTATATAAGAAAGGAGCTTGCAAACTTGTTGAATGTACGGAAAGAATTATTAACTTAACCGATTCCGAGCAGGACCAACGAGAAATAGTGATAAAATATCACGAGGGTAAAACTTGTCATAGACGGATC